AGGAACATCTAACTTATTTCTCAGACATTCTTCTTCTCCATCGTGTCTACCTCTTTCATTCGAGAATATATGAACTAGGTGTCAGAAATGTTTAGAAATCATTTGTACTTTACTTTAGTCAAAGTTATAATGTTGAGGTTTGACAATCGTATAATATTGGATAGGTTATAATGTTTTGCTAAAAACCGCTTATAATCTGTAGGTTTAAAAGTCTATTACCAATATTATGCGATCCTACATAGTCATACACCTAAATAGACTTGATCAAATTATTATTAGGTGTACTATGGATTAGATCAATTACTAATTTTGGATTTTTGAGAATTTATTTTATATATGAGATATATTAAATATGTTACTCATGTATCATACATATATGATATGGTATATACATGTGAGAAAGAAAAACGAAAGACGAAAGTGTTAAAATCCAATTTGGAATAGGAGGAGCCCACATGAAAGTTTGACTCCGCTATATAAGGGACATACTTAACTTCTTTTAGCAAAAGTCTAGAACCAATACTACTCTCCAAGAAAATATCACCAATGTCAACAATCTGAGCCACACCATCATTACCCATTTTCACTGAACCATAACTACCCAAGTATATGTAGAGAACAAATCAAGCTGCAATGTAGCCAGAGTAGTACCCAACTAGTGTCATGGCATGTAACGTCAATGGTATCACTCTCACAAAGAATAAATATTGATCCTCGATAACAGTCACCTGATCTTCACCATCTTCTTGCCTTTTTCTTGTTTGTTGTGCTTTTTTTAATTTCCAACCGTCCTTCTTTATGTACTCTTTCTTATGACAATAGTGGTACTCCATGTTACCAAAATTTTTAGATTTACTCTTGCTCCTTTGTTTATGTTAATAGTCCCAAATAACCCTTAGTTCACGAGGATATGTAATATAAGACTCGGAATCACACCAAACTTATTGTCACACGGTTTCAAGGCTTACGGCTTGAATGGATCGAAATTTGCCACACAAAGTTGTAAAATGACTTTGTGATAAGAATACAAATCAATATCTATGTGAATCGCACACAAAGACATATATTCTATTTTTTCTAAAGGAATCACACACATTAGAAAAGACAAGTAAAACAAAGCATAAGCTTCAAATGTAAGAATATCTCTTTTCTTTTCCAAAAATTATATATGTTTACATTGAATGGACAAATGAGCTAATATAGGCCCAAGTTACAAATCAAC